GCGAACATATACGCGATCAATGAATCGCATATGGTGAGCTCAATGCGTACCATAAACGACACTGATGAGATTCGAAACCAAATGTCGGATCCAGTTGAAATCGTCGACTTAAGCTACGAAGAGGAAAGAGATCAGGTTAAATTGGAATCGGAATGTGCCAGTCAACATGATGAAGACGATGAAAGCCACACAGAAAATGGTATCGCAATGGTCGATATGGAACTTGATGATGATATTGTGCATCGCGATTTGGACAAAACGCGCAAAGACACTTCCACTGTTACATTGAGTAATGGCCCAAACATGCTAGGTGTCAACATGACAGCGAGATCAACGAAATCTCCAGAGAAACGAGCTGTATTGGGTCCAACTCCAAAATCATCATTGTTGGAGATGAAGAAGCGATTCAAGTGTAAATTTTGTGAATATTCTTGTGATTACAATTGTACCCTCAATCGACACATGCGCACTCATACCGGTGAGAAACCATTTCGATGTGATATTTGCCGCAAAGGATTCACTAGAACGGAATATTTGAAGAACCATCAAGTGACTCACACCGAAGAAATTCCGTTCCATTGCCGAGGCTGTTTCACTGGATTTTCCCAAAAGGTCGAAAAAGACGCCCATGAAAAGGTGTGCAAAAGACGTCGATATGAATGTCATATCTGCAAAAAGTATGTCAATGTGAATAAAAGTCAGTTGACAGTACATATGCGAAAGCATAACGGTGAAAAACCATTTCGATGCGAGATTTGCATGAAGTGTTTTACACGCAAAGAAAATTTGAAAAAACATTTGGACGCCATTCACACCAGAATCGACATTTAAGAGTTCTCGGACCTTAACAGTAAACTTCGAAAACTTTCAAAACATCGACCTCATTAACAACGATAAATGGCATTTTATTTTCAAAGTTCAAAACATTTAGAAGAATATTGGCCAAAATTTCCACTGGAAACCCTTTCATACATTGTTTAAGTTAGAAATACCCAATATTTTCAATTTATATTTTGGTCCGAGACATTTTGATGTTATAAAAGTTTCTTTTAAAAAGCACCACCACCACAAATAAAATAATCATTTTCTTACAAGTAATTTGACAAAAAAAAATTCAAAGAATTAAGAAATAAAATATTTTTGAATCTATTCATTGTTGTGATTCATTTCGCTTCAAATACAAAATCCGCTTGTATTTCACCTCACAAGATTTCGTTGACTTGGAATGCAGCGAACAGCAGCGAATTCGGCGTGACAACTTATTGCTATTGACAGATGGTTTACATTAAATCGCGTCATTCCCTACATTTCACTTGTTGTACAGCACGTCTTGGACACGCTTCAATTAGGAAGCATCATAAGTAGAGAAATAAACTTATATTTTCATTGCATTAATAGTGTTTGAAAGCATTTGATTTTTTGGAAATTATTTATCAAAACGTTCCTATACCAATTATTCCATTTTATTTTATTGAAACCAGAACGTGAGTAAGGTAAGAACCCTCTGTTGAATTGTGTTTAAATCACGTCTGATAAAAATACACGACTCGATTATTCAAAGGAAGTTAAAAATGTTGAGCTGGGGTGACGAGATGAGCAAAATGCTTGCGGCCTTTGAACAACAAGCCAAATTTTCACTGACCAACATTGGAACGGCATTCAAACGCGATGGTTTATCGTTCAGTGCTCAATTCAAGCAGTATTTCCTGCAAGCTTCGAATAACAGGTTGGTATATCACTGTGAAATTCCATTCGGTTGTCTTTTATTGATCAAATCGTTGTAATTACTCGCAGAATCAAGGAAACTTATGACCAGTTCGAAATTGATTCAGTTTTGGAAGGTCTAGTCGTTGATGCAGATGCAAGTAAGTCGGCAACCGATGAATATCTGGCGATGGGCTCAATTTATTCTCCAAATTATGATAGAAGCAAACAACAAGAACGCAATGGCTCCGTCGAAATCATTGACTCAAGCGATGAAGAAGATCAGACAGGAAGTGAAATGAAATTGGAATCGTTTTCTCCTATTCTTGACGATGATTACGATATGCTACTCAAATTGGACGTTATGAAAGCTGACGATGGTATTCCAGAGCTTGTCAACGATGTACTTTGCGACATGAAGACAACAAGTGCGTGCACATACACTGGTGCATCAAACTTTGATGATGGTGCCAAGGGTAACAGCATGACAGGAACACCAACGGAATGTGCAAGAAAACGTGCATCAGGTTCGATTGCAAAAATGTCACCGAATAAAATGTCAACTTCATCAAAACCAATGGGAACGAAGAAGCGATTCCAGTGCGAATTTTGTGCATATTCCAGCAATTATAAGGCCGACCTGAAGAAACACACGCGTACTCATACCGGTGAGAAGCCATATCGATGTGATATTTGCAGCAGAGGATTCGCAACTATGCAGCCCTTGAAGAAGCACAAAGTGACTCACGTCAATGAATTTCCATTCCATTGTCGAGGCTGTTTCAGTGGATTTTCTCAAAAGATCGAAAGAGATGGCCATGGAAAAGTGTGTAAATTGCGTCGATATGAATGCCATGTCTGCAAGAAGTTTGTCACTGCGAATAAAAATCAGTTGAAAGTGCACATGCGGAAGCACAACGGCAAAAAACCGTTTAGATGCGAGATTTGTATGAAGCGTTTTACACAGAAAGGAAGTTTGAAAACACATTTGGTCACCATTCATGGCAGCAATTATTGAAGATTTTTCTTTTAAAAACATTCTCAACATTCGTATCATTAAACTTTTCGTTTTCAAATATTCAACTCAATTTATAAGGAAAGCATAGTAGAAACTAAATGCGAATCGAATAATCAGACTATTATAATCCAGAAAAAATGATATAAAAGGCAATACTCTAGCCAAAATTTGATTCAATACTAATGTGAAGACTTAATCAGTTAAATTCAACGTTATCAATGTTAAAATGTGAATTTTTATTGATATTTGAATTCCCTACATTTAGTTCTATTTTCCAAACATTGTTTAAGCTGAAAATATTCAATAAATTAGAAATCATTTCTATTTTGCGTATTCATAAAATGTGTTTCTCTTCCCCCATTGCATAGCTTATTACTTTTGCGCACACACCTCGTGTGTAAGGTAAAGTATTGGAATCGGTCGAAAAATTAACACCCATCAAAAATGAGTTTTCTGGGTGTTTTCGGGGCCAGGGAACACGAATCTAACGTTTTTCGATGTCCGAATGTATGTGCGTACCCTGTACGCTGTACGCAAATTTTTTTTATTTTTTATTTCTGTCATTTTTCGCGACTTTTTCACCATTTACAAGGACGGCTTGTATGAAAAACACGGAAGACCGCTGAAATGACGTATATCCGTACATATTTTGTATTGGTCATTCAAGGGTCAAGCGTCACCAAAATGTTATTCAGTGGATTGAAGGGAGTCCACAATCCTTCCATTTTATTCATTCAGAAGAAGTGGCAAAATTGTGGGGCCAGCAAAAAAATATGCCGGCAATGACCTAGTAGGTCAGACCTACGATAAACTGTCAGAGCTTCACATTATTACAAAGGAGGCAACATGATCGAGATTGTCACCGACAAACATTTTACATATCGGTTCGTGTATCGTGTGATGGGAAAAAACGCACCAGAACTAGCCGAGACGAATCACTGGTACGACAGTGACACAGTCACTCGGCTCAGGATAAAGCGGCTTTTATCAAAAATTTGCGAGCGAGATTGTGTTATTTCGGACCAAAAAAGTGTAAAATGGACCCCTCAATTCTTACAAAGAATTTTACTTTGTTGCTCCATTGCAACCTCTGATGCAAAAAAAAATCCGTTTTAGATAAAATCTGAAAGAAAACTCAGTTTCAATATGTCGTCTCTAGAAAGAAGGTTAAATCAAAAAGATAGCAAAAGATTATCAAGCTAGTATAACGTAGAATTCAGAGAAAATAATTTAATATTGACAAAATGACATTTACTTTGACACGCTTAATATTTAACAAAATTCTTCATTTTTTCTTCTTCTCTCAGAATGATAGTTCGAGTTTACAAACAGTGAAAGTGATCAATAAGTCATCAATTTCGAATAGTTCAGATGGACCGGCGACAATAACAGCAGCAAAGAAGATGGTGTTAAAAAGTGAACCGCCGCATTTGACAAATTTTACAACGAAAGCACCGAAACTAAATAAAACATCAAATTCACCGGTGAGGATTAGTGAGCAAAAAATGGTACAAATTCCAATGACGGATTATCTTGATATGATGAAACAATTGAAGGAGTTGAAAGAGCGTGTGGCGTGTGAGGAGACCAGTGGATTTGTGCCGATTTAGTTTTTCACATCTTAAACGAATGTGGTTCAATGCAGTTCATCGTCGCCACTCGCATGGAATTTATATTGTTTCTCTTTTTGTGGACGGAAGTGAAGAAGAAGCACATGTTTCAGGTCCACTCGTTTATATGCAAATTACATAGTTTTTCCGGCCCAAAGTGAACAAAGAAAGTAAAAACCTAGCACATTACAGTATAGCATTGTTATTAATTCGTTCGGCATCTCTCTCTCTCACTCTCTGGCTAGATGTAAATCGGGATAGTGATTCAAGTTTTTATGCGCGCCCTTCACGACTGACTGGCTGGATAAATCAGCACTTCATATGGCTGCTGAAAATAACCACTATGATACCTGCGAAGTATTGCTTCGAGCTGGTATTAACCCAGACTCGTGAACCAAAGTGGAATGAACTGCAATGGCCACGATAAAATTGTAAGCACCAAATGACACTGTTCAATTCTTACTAAAATGGCATTTGTTTTGGTTTAAATGGTTTGTGCTCTGAGCCACAGCCTCTGGCATAAATGTTGGAATCACTTTCTTTATGATTTTATCAATTCTAGGTCAAATTATTGCTGAGTCATAAATGAGATGTGAACGCTAGAGATATGTTGAAGATGACACCATTACATTGGGTGGTCGAAGAATTGCGAATCGAAGAACGGAGAGATGCCCATGTCATTAGCCGAACAATTAAGATTTGATGACTTGGCTCGAATGATGAGTACATACAAAATGCAGGCGGCTGTCAGTATGGAAGAGCAACAAGAAGCCACCGACAGCATCATACAGGGAATGGAGAGAGACAGTTTAAGCTCGTTTAAACATAGTGATGCGGATATAAGCCAAGATTCAACATCATGTGAGGATAGTTCATCAGCGATCATCAATTTGAAGGCTAATTTAAATAGTTCTAATCAACAATCGAACTGTATGTTAATTGCATAAGTCAAATAGAATGTCTTACATCCGTAAGATGAACTTTTCCGCACTGTGATCCACAACATGCATTTATTACGTATCTTTTACCGTAAATATGAATTCATGAGAAAACTGAATCTGATATAAGTTTTGCGATACAAATAATTTTTGATAGACTTTTCAATGCCTGTATGATATGATATCGTAACCATGTGAAAATGTCCAGAGGTTATTTTTTCACAATAAAATAACATTCTGAAAGTCTGAAGAAATTTTAATACAATTGAGTGCGAAAAATCCAACATTTTGTTCGGGAGGTACCCTTGGATTATTGGATTATTGGATTTGTACGGGGAGCATACTAGGTCTACTTTTCAGTAATATCCATAGTTTCTCGTTGCTCAGGTTAATTTAGCTATTGCAAGCAGCCGGTGTATATTTGTATGAGATTGGAGACTTTTTGCGAATCTCGCTAATGAGCGCCATCTGATTTTAGTGTGAATTAGATGCAAAAACTGAATTTAATTCTGTAGCATTGAAATGAAAAAGTGAAAAAACAACAACAATAGCACGGCCACACAGAGCTGTACATCTATGCGTGCTGATGCATACATACACATATACGCTTTCTTCATTCTTTCATTCCATTGCTATACGTATCTCACTGGTCAACAGATCTATGTAGCCATGTTACTGTTGTTGTTTTTTTTCTCTTTTTCGATTCAATTCATTGTAACTAAATTGAGTTCAACTATGGAATACAAGATGGCACAGATGAGGGGAATTCGCATTTTGTCTCTTCATAGGCTTAGCCGGTTGATTGCAAGACGCCCGTTTGAGTTATGATGCTACTAGACTGCCGGGGTTCCATCTGTTCGGCACAGTCGCCCTTGCTGTTCAGCATGGTCTTCAGCGGCCCTTGCTGTTCGGCAGGGCCTAGACCATTGCTTCACTTAGGACCCAACTCACTGCAGTTGTTGTGAACACTCATAACTCTACCATACTCCAGGTGGCGCTGGGTTCCTCTATTCAATGTAGGAATGCTACCACCACTGATTTACCGGTATATTCACCAGTAGTTAAGCACTACCTTTTTACGGTTGACGTATTGGATATTTGACATATCCAAGACAAAAACCTAACGTAAAGGCACTCCATTTTACGTGTGTCTATGCTGAACCCATTATTCGTTGTACACACACACGGGACCGACGGCTTTAAGTGCCCTCCGAAGCACTCCACAAGTCCGAGACCCGGTCCAAATTTCTCCTCATTAAACCACTGATAATCCCTGAGCGAATCACGGTGGAAAAATACCGGACGAAATTTGACCGAGAATCGAACTCGTGTCCTCATGCTCACAAACCTGGCACGCTAACCACTAGTCTATGGCTGGGAGGTACCCTTATTATGCATTGAAATTTCTTCTAACTCTCGGAATGTTATTTTTGTGTGATAAAAATAACCTGTGCAAAGTTTCAGCTCATTAAGATATCATACAGACATGGCTTCCAATGGCTTTCTAATGGTTTCTATTCTTCAGGACTCCTAATCATCCCGTGAAGTCAGATTTTGAATTACTTTTCTTGTTTGAAAGTTATCGTGTAAACAAATTTTTGCGTACAGGGTACGCACATACATTCGGACATACAAAAAACGACTGATCCGTGTTCCCTGGCTCCTAAAGCACCCAGAAAACATGTTTTTGATGGGTGTTAATTTTTCGACCGATTCCAATACTTTACCTTACACACTAGGTGTGTGCGGAAAAGTAAAATATTCAGGGAAAACTAGGATGATATGAAATATAGAATTTTATTTGTCCATCTAATTCGTATTGTATTAATTTGTACATTGTTTTTGTTTATTCTCTTTTGTGCGGATTTTCTTCAAGGCATAGACGAAGAACTAATACAACTCGGACGGTGTCATCAAATTTAGCGCAGGTCAAAAATGGCGATGTGAAACAAGTTTGCAACTTTGTATTATCCTACTGCAGCGAATACGGTTTGACAGCTTGTTCGCCTTAATTGACACCATTCTTTGTATTTCATTTATTGTAAGTGGCTCAACATATTTCAATCTGAAAGCATCAAGTAAAGAAATAAAATTATATTTTCATCGAATAAATACTTTATTGACTTGAATTCGTTTCAAACATTGTGCTGTTCGTAAAAGGGCGATTTATTTTATTGGAATTTCATTATCAAAACGTACGAAAGGTAAGAACTTTCAACATTCACGTCATAAGATAATAATTGGTTCGCTGTTTCACTCACGCGCACACTAACTGTGTGACTATTTATCTCGATCTGTGGTCTGATAGTACATGATTTCCTTCATTATTGCAAGAATCAACCAATATTTTAGTTTTTATTCGCTATATTCCAATTTAGTGAAAAATCTGGAAATGCGGAGCTGGAGTGACGAGATGAATCAAATGCTTACTGCATTCGAATACCAAGCGAAAATTTCTCTGGGCAATATCAAACGCAATGGTCTATCACTCAATGCTGATTTCAAGCAGTATTTCTTGCGTGTTTCGTATGATCGGTGAGTAAAATCAGTATTCGTAATTTTGCAATAATAATTCATAATTGATAATTGTGTGCAGGATTAAGAATACGTACGATGAATTCGAAATCAGTTCAATATTCGAGGATGTAAGCACGTCAACAACCGACGAATATCTGAATTTATTTCATACCCCAAGGTATGACATAAACAATACACAACAAACCACCAATGAGCCATTTGAAATCATTGACACGAGTGACGAAGAGGATGAAGCACCGAAAATAAAACGTGCCATTCGATACGATGGCCATGGCATATCAAAAGAATTAAACGATTATGGTCAATTGGACGACAATGGAAGTTACACCGAAATGTCGGACATGAAATCAAACGTGTTTGACTATCAAGGAGATGTTTCAAATAACAGAGGTGAATATCGCATTCCAAATGAAATAGACAACGCAATGAAGGCGGAGGAAATGGAACGGGACGATGGCATTCCGATAGTTGGCGTCACTATGAACACAATGGGTCAGAACACATCAACTTTGAATTTGAGCAATAAATCAAACAACGTCGGTGGTGCCAAAAGAAACAGCATGACAGGAAGATCAAATGGACGTCCAAACGAACGAACTGAATCATTGCGACGTAAAAACTCAATTTCATCAAACCAAATGGGAACGAAGAAGCGATTCCAGTGCAACCTTTGTGAATATTCCAGCAATCAAAAGGGAAACCTCAATGTTCACATGCGTACTCACACCGGTGAGAAACCGTATCGATGTGATAATTGTCACAAAGAATTCACAAGAATGGAACATTTGAAAAAGCACAAATCATCTCACATAAATGAATTTCCGTTCCATTGCCGAAGTTGTTTCACTGGATTTTCCCAGAAGGCTGATCAACAAGCACATGAAAAAGTGTGCAAAATGTGTCGATATGAATGCCATATTTGCAAGAAGTTTGTCACTTTTCAAAAAAATAAGTTGAAAGAGCATATGCGAACACACAACGGTGAAAAACCGTTCCGATGCGAGATTTGTATGAATCGCTTTACATTGAAATCAAGTCTAAAGACACATTTAGACACCATCCACTCCAGAATCAACCATTAAAAGTTCTCATTCATCTTAAAAACATTCTCAACATTTTTTAAACTTAAGGTCTAAAACTTAAAACATTGATTAAGCTTAAAATATTGTATTCAATAATTATAAAGTAGAAATCATCTCGATTTTGCCTATTCATAAACTCTGTTTCGATACAGACTCTTCCCCCATCACATGGCTTCCCACCATCTCAAATGTTCGAATAAAGCAATCTTGATGAAATTATCATAGGCGGACTAACTGTATGAATTTGAAATGGTTAAATATAAATATCGACTGTGATTCAATTAAAATTCAAATTCCTTCCGTCAATCGGCGCAAGTGATTTCGCTATTTCTACTCCAGCGAATACGGTTTGACAGCTTGTTCGCCTTAAGTGACACTATTCTTTATATTTCATTTATTGTACGTACACGTGCTGAACACATTCAATCTGAAAGTATCATAAATAAAGAAATAAAATCATATTTTCATCGAATTAACACATCATTGTCACGAATTCGTTTCAAATATTCTGCTATTCGTAAAAGGGCGAATTTATTCCTCAAAACGTAATAAAGGTAAGAACTTTCTAGATTTATGTCATAAGATAAAAATTGGTTCGCTGTTTCACTCACGCACACTGTGTACAGTTAGTATAGCAGCCATGTACTAGTTAGTTCGAGAAGTGGTCTGATCAGGTCTGATAGTACATGGTTTTTATGTAAAATGTAATACAATCAACACACTTGTTTGGTTTTGTTCCATTCTAGTCAAAAGTTTCAAGAGAATACCCGAGAATACCAAACCAGAAGTCCAAAAATGATGAGCTGGACTAACGAACTAAGCCAAATGCTTGTTGCATTCGATCACCAAGCAAAATATTCTCTGCGCAACATTAAAATGGAATTCAACCGCAATGGTCTGTCACTCAATGCTGATTTCAAGCAGTATTTCTTACGTGTTTCATATGATCGGTGAGTAAACACAATATCCATAACTTTGTAACGCTTTGCAGTAATAATTCATTATTGTTCATTGTGTGCAGGATTAAGAACACGTATGATGAATTTGAAATCAGTTCATTGTTCGAAGTTGCGGGTATGTCAGTAACCGACAAATATCCGAATTCAGTTCACACTTCGAGTCAAGCCATGAACAATACACAAGAAACAACCAATGAACCATTTGAAATCATTGACACGAGCGATGAAGAAGATGAAGCAACGAAAATGGAACGTGCCATTCGATACGATGGCCATGGCATATCAAAAGAATTAAACGATTATGGTCAATTTGACGACGATGAAAGCTACACCGAAATGTCAGACACGAAATCAAACGTGTTTGACTCTCAAGAAGATGTTTCGAATAACAGAGATGAAGATCGCATTGGAAATGGAATGGACAACGCAATGAAGGCAGAGGAAATGGAACGGGATGATGCCATTTCGATGGTTGGCATCACTATGAACACAACAAGCCAGAACACATTAACTGTGAATTTGAGCAATAAATCAAACAACGTCGGTGGTGCCAAAAGAAACAACATGACCGGAAGATCAAATGGATGTCCAAGAAAGCAAACTGAATCATTGCGACGTAAAAGCTCAATGTCTTCAAAATCAATGGGGCCGAAAAATCGATTCCAGTGCAAACTTTGTGAATATTCCAGCAATCGAAAGGGAGACTTCAATAAACACATGCGTACTCACACCGGTGAGAAACCATATCGATGTGATAATTGCCACAAAGAATACGCATCTATAGAGTCCTTTAAAATACACAAAGTGACCCACATCAAAAATTTTCCATTTCATTGCCGATGCTGTTTCACTGGATTTTCCCAGAAGTCCGATCAACAAGCACATGAAAAAGTGTGCAAATCACGTCGATATGAATGCTATATCTGCAAGAAGTTTGTCACTTTACAAAAAAATAAGTTGAAAGAGCATATGCGAACACACAACGGTGAAAAACCGTTTCGGTGCGAGATTTGTATGAAGCGTTTTACAGCGAAAAGCAGTCTAAAGAAACATTTGGACACCATGCACGCCAGAATCAACCATTAAAGGTTCTCATTCATCTTTATAACATTCTCTACATTTCTTACATTTATAACAAAACGATTTATTACAGCATATAATTCAAAACATCGCTTAAACTTAAAATGACTCTGAAATTAACAACCTCAAATGTTCATATACCATAATCAATACCAATAAATTTGACCGAAATACCTGATCAGAAAATTCTATCATCTATCCACTAAGAAAAAATCGTTAAAAATAAATTAAATTTTCAAATCCATTAAATTAGCTCATAAATCAAAATCCGACGGTCTGTCGCCGCAAATGATCTCGCTGTGTCTAGTGCTGGAAGGCAGCGAATTCGTTTTGACAGCTTGTCGCTACTACATAATCGTATTAAATTGCGCCATTCCTTCTATTCCATTTGCTGTACAACACGTCCTCGACACATGTTATTCTGGAAACATCAAAAGTAAAGAAATAAACTCATATTTTCACCCAAATAATACTTTAGTGACTTGAATTTACTCTAAACATTCCGCTATTCTCATAAAAGTATTTCTTTTCATTGGAATTTATTTATCAAGACTCGAGAAAGGTAAGAACATTATTTCTTTACTTTACCACTCTCTAACAGACTTGTTCTAAAATCTAAAGCTGTTAATATTTTCATAGATGCCATGCTTATTAAATATTGTTTAAGCTGAATGTATTTAAAAAAAAAAATGCTCGAAATATGTTCGGTTCCCACTCCATTTGATTACAATATCATTCCAATTAAATTAAAATCAGCAAGTCACGAAAAGTTTCTATTCGTCTACAAAAATAGAATTGACCTGCTGAAAATATCTGCTATTATATTCATGAAGCCGGATAGATTCATACTCTCTGTTTTTATAAGATTTTTGGTTTGAAGTAAGAGAAAAATAGTAAATTTTGTTTTTGTTCCATTCTAATTTAGTCAAAATTCCGATAATGTTCAGCTGGAGCGACCAGATGAGCCATATGCTTGCTGCATTCGATCACCAAGCAAAATATTCTCTGAGCAACATTAAAATGGAATTCAACCGCAATGGTCAATCACTCAATGCTGATTTCAAGCGATATTTTTTGCGCGTGTCATATGATCGGTAGGTAAAGATTTCGATACTTTCAACATTTTGGTAGCGCTGTTAATTATCTGTATTCTGTTAACATCTGTTAATCTTATTTATGTGCAGGATAAAGCTTACGTACGATCAATTCGAAATGAATGCGATATTTCAAGAACAAATTGACCTTGGTTCAAATGCGAGCACATCGACAATTGATGAAACTCAGATGGTCAACTTAATTCAAACGAAAGGTCCAGTCGAAATCATCGACTCAGCTGATGAAGAGGATTATCACACCAAATGCGAACCGTATTCAGATACCACATCTGTTTTTTCATACGATAATACTGAAACAAACCACGAATTGAATGATTTTGTTCGAAATGACTGTCAAAAAGATGTTTCACAAAGCAACGAAGCAGAAACCGACAAATCGACGAAAGCGGAGGAAATGGAAATGAACGACGGTATTTCGAACATCGCTGAGGCAGTCGCGACGAAACCTAGTAAATATCCCATAAAAATGATGGAAAGAAGCTCGGATTTGTTGTATTCTGAACCACGGCAATCATTACCATCAACCGATTTGGAAATGAAGAAGCGACACAAGTGTCAATTTTGTGCATATTCCAGCAATCAAATTGGACACCTGAATCGACACATGCGTACTCATACCGGTGATAAGCCATATCGATGTGATATTTGCCGCAAAGGATTCACAACTATGCAGTCCTTGAAAAAGCACGAAGTGACTCACATCGAACAAATTCCGTTCCATTGCCGCGGCTGCTTCAAAGGATTTTCCGAAGAAACCGAAAGAGATGACCATGAAAAAGTGTGCAAGTTGCGTCGATATGAATGCCATATCTGCAAGAAGTATGTCAATGTGAATAAAAATCAGTTGGAAAAGCATATGCGAACGCATAACGGTGGAAAACCGTTTCGATGCGAGATCTGTATGAAGCGTTTTACACAGAAAATTCACCTGAAGAAGCATTTGGACACCGTCCACAACGGAAACAATTTATAATTGGAATCATTCAATGCTGTTCTTTTCATCGTTCCAAATTATCTCAATTGATTTCTTCAAAACTATTCCCAAAACATTCAAACTTTCAATAAACTTTCAGGTCTTGATTGTATTAACGGTTTTCTGTATGTTGAGATCGCTCAGTTTCAAATAAATCAAAAATTCCATTTACGAGTAAATTGCATTTATTTTCATAATTCTCCAGGTTTGAATGTAAGCGAACGTATTATTTATTGGAAATTTGATGGTAAAGATTGAAATCCATCTTCAGTTGAGAATTATTATGAATTTGCACGGTTGTCCGTCATCTGAGTCACCTTTAAAAATTTGACCTGCATGACATCTTTTATAATCTGTCGTTTCATCTAGAAATAGATTCCTAAATGAACTTGGAACCTGATCCCAACTGAGTAAAAAAAAACGTTGTAAATTGTAATATGTACAACAAAAAATGATTTTGAATATAAACCTGAGGTCCGGATATTGAACGTGAACCTTTGCAATGTTTTCACGGATACTAGTATAAATTTGACCAAGATAAACATTCTTATCATGTTTTTTTAGCTTCTTTATGAAATAGTCTTCGCATCTTGTCGATTCTAATTCCCCGGGCGCACTAAACCAACGTATACGCTGAAAATCCTTCACTTGTTTTTCGTATTGATTTTTTCCAGAGTTGACAGATGCCTGAAACGCGAAAAATAACGTCAAAAATATAGATTATTAAGAAAATTATTGCAAGACTTCTTGATCGATCTCTTTCAATAAGACTTAAGAGAATCGATAAGTTCCGCAAGACTAAAAAAACGATGATAATGTGGAACCAGTTTCAAACGTGCTGAGGAATACTGAAGCCCGGCAGTCAGTGTCATCAAACCAATTGGGAATGAAGAAGCGACACAAGTGCCAACATTGTGAATATTCCAGCAATCACAATTCGAACTTCCAGGAACACACGCTTATTCACACAGGTGGAAAACCGTATCTATGTGATATTTGCCGCAAAGAATTTACTAGAACGGAACAATTGAAGAAGCACCAAGTGAGTCACACCTAATAAATCCCGTTCCATTACCGAGGCTGCTTCGGTGAATTTTCCCAGAAGGCTGACCAAGAAGCGCATGAAAAAGTGTGCAAATCACGTGGATATGAATGCCATATCTGCAAGCAGTATGTGACTGTATCTATAATTAGTTTCAAAAGTCATATTCTGAAGCATTACGATGAGGGCTCCCCTTATCCAGCCTGGCAAATTTTTGCGATTGCCTTAAAACCTTTTTAGGGATTTAGTGACTAATTTGTGACACCATTATTTCGGCCCATGGAATAGACCTTCGGCCACTTTGGGCCATTTTTCTATTTAGGCCTATGGATAAAATCAATCTTATTCACATTTATTTTGATTCAGAATAATATTTGATCTTAATAATAAAAGAATCGTTAGGAAACAAATTATATTTTCAAATTCATTGAATGGCATTCAACTATAATTCAATTTGCTCAAGATTTAAATTCTTCAGATATCTCGCCGCAGCTAGCCTCGTTACGTCTAGAGAATGCAGCGAATAGTCATTTTGACAGCTTGTTACTACTATTGATGGCATTAAATAGCGTCATTCTTTCCATTCCATTTGTTGCATAACACGTGCTAAACTCGTTTCTATTCGAAAACAACAAAACTAACGAAATAAACGCATATTTTCATCGAAATAATACTTTTTTGTCTTGAATTCATTTCTAATATTCCACTCATTGCTTAAGAGCATTTCAATTTGTTGGAAATTATCGGAAATTACATATCAAAACTTGAGCAAGGTAAGAACAATACGTTGTTGCGCTGTCTGTATTCTTGTCCAAATTGAATTTTATGTGTCAACTAACATATTTATGTATTTACATGTCTATTCGAATGTAGTTAAGAAACTAAAAATGTTAAGCTGGAATGAAGAGATGAACAAAATGCTTATTGCATTCGATCGCCAAGCCAAATGTTCTCTGGCCAGTATTAAAATGGCACTCAAACGCGATGGTCTGTCGCTAAATTCTGATTTCAAGCAGTATTTTTTGCGCATTTCAAACGAACGGTGAGCAAAAATATCTACAATTATCAATCAAATAATACAATATTGTTAACTTTACGCAGAATCAAGAACACATATGATGAATTCGAAATTAGTTCAATGTTCGAAGATCAAATCAACGTAGGCGCATACGGTTACACGTCAATAATAGATACATTCTCAATGATGAACTCATTTCGTACCGAAAATCATGACAACGGCTTTCGAACTCAAATGGATGATCCGGTTGAAATAATCGAATCAAGTGACGAAGAAGATCAACCAGGATATCGGATTAAAATGGAAACACCATTTGGCACTCTGTATAATAGTCATGGTGAAACATTTCAGTTAAATGATTTGTTTAAAAATGACGACGATGTAAGCTATGCTCATGAACTGTCAAATACGAACTTGATTGGCATTGATTTTCAAGATGTTTCGAAGAGCTATGGTCATGACAGTAGCAAGAAGAAAGCTGCTAGCACAGTGAAAGTAGATGACAATATACCGTTGATTGCAGTTAATGATCGCAAAATGGGCTCAAAAAATAAACGTATATCCACTGTCACATCCAGTAAGAGATCTAAGCTCGTTGGTGTTGCCCACCTCAACCGATCTGAATTGGGTTTGATTTCACAATCAATAAGGAATAAAAAATCGATTTCATCCAACCAAATGGAGATGAAAAAACGATTGAAATGCCGACTTTGTGAATATTCCAGCAATCTAATGTGGAACATTAATCGCCACATGCGTACTCATACAGGCGATAGACCATATCAATGTGATATTTGCCGCAAAGAATTCACAACAATGCAAAATATGAAAAAGCACAAAGTGACTCACACCGAACAAATTCCATTCCATTGCCGCGGCTGTTTCACTGGATTCTCCCAGAAGTGCGATCAAGCAGCACATGAAAAAGTGTGCAAAATGCGTCGATATGAATGCCATATCTGCAAGAAGAGTGTCACTTCACACAAAAATAGGTTGAAAGAGCATATGCGAACACACAACGGTGAAAAACCGTTTCGATGCGAGATTTGTATGATGCGTTTTACGCAAAAAAATCATGTGAAGACACATTTGGATACCATTCACACCAGAATCACCGCATAAATTCCATCATTCAATCCAATCTCCTTTGTGATTGGCATACCAATGAGTATGGGCTAAACATTAATTCAAAATATTGTATTGACATACTTATAATTTCAATAAATATCAATGGAATCCAAAACAATTGCTATTTTACTAATGCCAGCCTCCAAGCATAGGCAAGATGTCTTTACAGAGGCGCCATCTATTGTTTGGTTTATGTATGCATAAACACATTCACAATTTTGCACTCATTTAGCTAATCCAAGTGCCAAATGAAGGAAATACTGTCCCCGAAATATCATTGCAATGCTGAAACATAGGGAGCCTTCTTATGCTAGAGAACAAAGGATATCTTCAGCAATTTTCAATATCATTTTATTCCGAACCGAAATATGTGTAAATAGCGTTATAAAA